CCCCAAAACCCCAAAACCCCAAAACCCCAAAACCCCGTTAATTCGAATATTAGTAATGATGTGAAAATTTAAGATAATAATGCATATTAACTATATAGAAACTCTTATGTTTTCATGATCATTCTCTGAGTTTAAGGAACATTCTCTTGAGAAGTTTGGCTTCATAGGTTACAGTTTTCTTGTCGTCGTGCTCCTCAAGGGGATCAATAACGGTCTTAATATTCTTTCCGTGTACTTCAACTGCATCCAAGAAGTTTAAGATCTCATTAAAAGATGAGTCTGGGAGAACAAGCATGTGCTTTGCAAGAGTCTCAATTAGATTTAAGAAGCATCTCTTGGCGTAAAACCATGTATCAGTTCCTAGCTTCTTTGAGTAAGGCTCGAGACTCTTAATGACTCTTGAGACTCCAAAGGTATAGTTACCCTTTGAGCAATAGAGGGTACCGATAACTAAGTTAACAATACATAAGTGATAGACTTAGCGTTGAGGATCTTCAATAGCAATTCTTTCCTCTTCCTTTTCAAGGCATTTCATGAGCTCTTCAGCATCAGCGTTTTGACTAGTCATTATATAAGCAACACAAAGATTTGCAAGTACGATTGCAGTTATGCTTAATAGATCGTCCATTTGTCTTCTAACAAAAGGTTCATAGTATCTGATTGCATCCTTGTATTTACCTTCTTACAAGAAGAATACATGGCCTACGTTGAGTTTCCAGGTTTCATGCTCGCTACAGAATTCAGCACTCTGTCTGAAAATCTTCTCAACCATTTGATAGTTACCAATATCCCAATAAGCTTTAGCTTGCATCATCAAAACTGGAATATATTTGTCCAAGGCGGCATCATATTCTTAAAGTGCTGAGTTGATTGCTTTTGAATCTCTAGCGATTCTAGCATCTTAAATAGCCTTAGTTTTCTTTCTAAGATTATCAATGTGTTTGTTTGCTAATTCCTCAAATTTTTTATAAGCCTCTTCTTTATTTGTTTAGTAGAGAATGAAATTTTCTAAGAAGTCGAAATCATCCTGAGAGAGGCATTTATACGTTAGATCTGTATTTTCAGCTAGGATATCAGCAGCAAGGTCGTAATGTTGATATTTGCAGTACAATAGGATAAGATTGGGGAAGGTTTCAGGTGGGAAGGGTGGATTGTTTAGTAAGAAGTTAAGCTTTTTGAAACCTCCAGCTGCGTCTTATTCAATATTCATTAAAGCCTGATTATGAAGAGTTACTGGATCAAGTTCATCTTCATTTCTTGGAGGCATGTCAAGAAGTGCTTCTCTAGCTGCTGCATTGTTCTTCATTGAAAACTCAATTGCAGCCTTCAAGTTAAATGCTTCAATTAAGGCGGTTTCTTTTAGGGTTTGAGTGTTTCCAACACTCTTCACTTCAACTCCTTCTGAATTTGATCCTACACCTAATTCTGGATGCTCTCTGACTCCCTTCTCAATGATATCAGCAATATGTTTGAGAGATGGGGCTAATGATTTCATCTTATAGTAGCATAAGGCAATATTGTATGCAATGTCACATTAGTACCCAGTCATATTAAGAGCTTCTTAGAACTTAGCTCTAGCCTCTTCGTATTTTTCTTCTTTATAAAGCATACATCCTTATGAAATAACATACTCTGCTGCATCAGGTGGAAGTTAAGAAATAAGAGATTTAGCATGTGAAATTTCCTCAAGTTCGTATTGAATGGCGATCTAAAGTTGGAGAATTTTTTCCTGGTATTCTTAGTTTTCAATTTGCTGAGCAACTTTTTGAGCCTCTTGATACATGCCAGCTTTATATAAACTCTGAGCATGATACAATTTATAGTTATCGCATTCAGGGAAGAACTTAGTCAGTTGATCATACATTTCAGCTGATTAGGCGTAGTCCTGAACATAGAAATAGCAGTAGCCTAATAATGAGAGGGCAGCTCTATTTCTAGGACTGAATTGCAACTCATAGGTCAAAAGGTTAATTACCTAATATATAGATAAGTATTGATTGAATCATTATTATAGATAGTTACCTCTTGATATTTCTGATCTCTTAGGAGCTGATAGATGGTTTGAGTGTATTACCCATCTGGAACCGCTCTGAACTGGTTGTCCATTTCTTCTACAATTTAAATTAATTTGAATTTTCTTTTCAATTTAGATATTTGATTTGATTTTCACATCATGGGGTTTTGGGGTTTTGGGGTTTTGGGGTTTTGGGGTTTTGGGG